TCTTTCTGATTATGCATCAGCTAGTAAAAGTATAAAGTATACACATTTGTTTACAACTACATTGGTTTCATTTATAACAAATATGTCAAAACGATGGGTTGAAAAATCGAGAATAACAACTATAAATATTTTGAAATCGAAAAGAAAATTTTAAATTACGCAAAATCACTGATAGTTATAGGACATCCATATACCATACGAAAGTGGAAATTTTTTTTAATATAATAATTCAATAATATACAGGGTGTTCCATTGAAAATAAGCCTTATATTAAACATTGAATAATCCAATAATGAAACTACAAATTTTGAACACTCTGTAAATAAATGTTTAATAATTAATCATGAAGTACATTTAACCAATATCTAACTATTTAGAGGTATAACCAATTTTATTAGAATTTCCTAAATAAGTTAGGAATGAGTCTTCGTTTAAAGCTTTACCTACATTTTAAGAATATTCCTCATTACTCAGAACACTCTGTCCATATAAGGAAGTCTTATGAAACTATACCTAATTTTTTGATGACAATTAGATAATGTAGTAAAATATAGGGTGTCCCTGAAGAAAAAATATAACTTTGATACGCCGCACTTGATTGGCATGCCCTGTATATTTCAAAATAATTTTAAAATGTAGCCCTTATCAACCTTTAAACTATAAATTTAAATTTTTTTCAAAATCTTTTACCGTTTCGCTGTAATCTTCCGTCCCGTTAGTGGTGACTCATCCTGTATATTGATATTATTATAAAAATTAATATTAAACTCACCAGTCTTCCGGGTTGAACCGCGTCGATATCCATTGGGCCGAGCTTTCAACATCCTCTCTGATGTCTTCCTCAGGGCTTCCGAGGTCTCAGTCTCCCGAGCCCCCAGACACTGCTACACTCACTAGTCACTTTACTTTCACTACTGTGTACAGTAAGTTCTTACTCTACTCTTAAATTTTTTACATATTTTTTTTATATACATGTACAATTACCACATGGTCTTTTGCTGTGCTAAGTTTGTAATTTGTAAACTGTATCTAGTTTCAATTAATTGTTTATACAACATAATCTTATAATGTCCATTGTCGTAAGCTTCTTTACATATTTAATATCATTGACTGCTACATGTCTTTTTGAGGTAACACACTTGTAATAACTTTTCTATGGATGTTTGGTTTTTCATATTGTTCTTTTTAGATGAACTGATGATGCTTTCTGAATAGGAAAGCGAAACGTCTTCAATAAATAGAAGTAGCCACGTTCTTTGTCTTTTTTCTCTCCACCTTTTGACCGAAAAACCCACCACTCTTCGAGTGATCCTTAATTTATATATACACCTTCATAAAAATACAATCATCAGATATCAAATTTTATTAATTGTATACGAGGTATGTCATAAAATATGAATTTCGCTTAAGAGTAAAGTACCTTTATATTTCACAATATCCAAAAATTTTATTAATAAAATTTATCAAAACTAAAAACTACGTTCAAATATACAATTACATACATTTACATTGAAAAAATAAGTTTTGTTATTTTTTACTATTTTTTTATTTTGAATGATCATTTTTATCTCTTGTGACCTAGAAACACATTTTGCAGTTTAAACACGTAATTAATGTATGTTCATTTATTTTGCAAATAGGAACATCATAACTAGTGTAACTAACATAACGTTATTACTTCATTGATATTATGTACTATTTCATTAGAAAACGACATTCTTGAGAGAAAAACTGTACTTTATATCAATAATATAATACAATGTAAGCTGCATATAAACACGTATCTATTAATAAGGGAAGTGGGATACGAATTCTGAACTAAAGAAGTGGCAGAAAAGTCTGCACGAAACGTTTTCTATTAAATAGTATTTTTTCTTTTTTATTTCTCCTTGACTGATAACCTCACAGTGAGACTTTTATATATTCATCGTTGAATATTTCTCTCTCTAATGGCTTCACTGAGTGTTCTATTAAGTTAGTTTCATTTTCTGGCATTTATATTCTCTACAATTTTGTATTTCCATTTCTTGATCTAGTATAAGATTCCTTCGTTGTTCTCCTATACACATAGACTCTGTTTTTTTACTTCTAATCCCCATTTTTCGTATTCTTTTACAAGATTTTTTATCGTATATCCAGGTTAATAAACTCTTGTGATGTTATTACATGGTCGTCTGCAAAACTAACTGTGTACAGAGTACAGTCATTAAGTGGGATTCCCATATTTCTGCATTTGTTCCTCCACTGTTCCATTGCTTCCCATAGTTTAGTCATGAGGACACTATCATATTCTTTATTTAGGTTTTTAAATAGATGATGTAGGTTTTTATTATAGACTAATTTATTTTCTCTTGATACTCTCTTGATACAAAAGTAAGAATGCTGCGATGCTACGTCTTCTCTGTCCTTTTATATGGTGTTGAATCGTGGACCTTGAACGAATATATGAGCAAAAAACTGGAAGCATTTGAGATGTGGCTATATCGGAGAATACTTAAGATCCCGTGGACTGATCGAGTGACAAATGAGGAGGTCCTTAGAAGAATGAATAAGAACCGAGAGATACTGACCACCATTAAATCTCGAAAGTTACAATACTTCGGGCATATTATGCGAAATGAATCCAGATATGCTCTCCTTCAAGCCATCCTGCAAGGAAAAATATTTGGAAAGCGAGGTCCCATCTTGGCTGAAGAACCTTCTGGTTCAATACGTGCAGCTTTCCGCGCTGCTGCAGATAAGATAAAGATCGCCATGATGATCGCCAACATTCGTAACGGATAGGCACATCAAGAAGAAGAAGAATTTATTTTCTATGTCCTGGTTCAGTGAGACGCGGTGGTCTACTATTCACATTATTTCTCTTATATTTTTTTAAATACAGTTTAGTCGTAGCTTTCTTTCCATTTAGATGGTATTTCTCTTTTGTTAAGACATGATTGGAATAGGATTGTCAGTTTCTTGTAATAATTTTGAGTTAGTATTTGAACGCCGACAATTTGGCTCGTACGTATATATGCTTTCCTCTCTTCAACTCCATTCGCTGCTCCGTTAATAGGTAGTTGTGTATGTTCTTGTAATTTCTTACTCATGTTTTATTTTTTTTTTATTCTGGATGATCTTTTTGTGAGCTTTCGACTGTGCTTCCTTAACTTTTTTGTGAGTTCGATTTCTAACTTAGAAATTTTTCTATAGAATAGGGCTTTCTATTTTGATGATTTTGTTTTTTGTGTTGTCATAGGGCTTTTCGTACAGTATATACAGTGCCTTCAGTATATTTTTAGTGAGCTTCCACGCTATTAAACTTATGTTTTGTACAATATAGCTTCGTATATTGTATAAATGCCTAATACTTTCTTCCTCTATCAGCCTAAGGTAGTATTTCTTTTTTTTTCTAGCTTTTATTTTTAAATGTCGCTTCCCTAAGCAGTCTTACGTCTTGAAATTTTAGAGTTAAGATCTGTTTTGCTACTATTTAATCAATGATCAATTTTTACACTCTTGTATAATTTTCCTTCACGTATATTTGTTAGAAGTGTTCATTTAACATTTCTAAGTTGTTTTGGGCACTTACAGATATGCCTTTCTCCATTATTATTGGTTTCTTCTTCACCATACTTGGCTACATAATCTTGTCGTTAACTTTTCTTCGGATAAAGTTGATCCTGCGTTAAAAGCGTAGGCGCAATATTTCGGGCCAATGCTTTTTAAATGCATTCATTTGTTTCGGATCCTGAGAAAACTAATACATATTAAAAAAAAATTTAAACGCAGAATGAAAGATTACATTATTACCGAGGGCCGAAAGTCCCTTAGAATAAACAAAAAGTTTATTTTAAATGAGATATTTATAATTAATAATCACACTAAGTTTTCTCGTCTTTTTCACTCCTGTAACTTATTAAAATATACATTATAGAAGTTTTCAGTGACTTTCGTCCTTCTGTAATAATGTATTCTTTCATTCTGCGTTTAAATTTTTTAAAACATATTTATTAGTTTTCTCAGAATTCGAAAAAAATGAATGCATTTAAAAAGCATTGGCCCGAAATATTGCGCCTACGCTGTTAAAATCAGCCAACAGTAATATTTCTGTTGAAGTCCCTATCTTAATTATTTTATTATTTAGGTGTTGATACAACAAAGGATCATCACCGTTTAGGTATTCCATAAAATCCAAATATTGTAATTTTGATTCCAAACACCTAGTAAACCAAACCAAAGTACTTCCTACTTACTCTTTCAGAGATTGCTTGCTTCGAAGTTATATTTTTACGCCGTTTTTTATGTTTTGTTTTACTAGCAGACTAATTTTCTGTTATTTAACTTCGCGGATATCATTTATTATTTTTGATATTTCTGTAGGCTATATTCATTATCTTATTCCTTTGTATCGTTTGTTTTTGGTTTGCTGTTCCGATCCAGGCTGTGTATTGGTTATTTTAACAACGATTTTTTTCGGAAAATAGGCCGTCGACCTTTTCTTTTCTTCGACTTTCCTCCTTGTCCGGGTTTAGGACCGGCTGTGGTAGTTTGGAAACTACTCGATCCACCCACAAACTTACTAATCCACCCAGGCAGATTATAAGGTATAAATAGTATATAAATATGATCTGAAAGATCTTTTGCGTACCCAACTTGTATGTTTGGTGCTGTCTGAAAGATTTTGTTAACTGCTGTGCCTTCGAGTTGATCCCTTATTTCAACAGTTATTTAAACAGTTATGTCCACACTACGACTAGGTGTTACATCTTTCGTATGTGATCAGAAAGAATATATATCTAATATTGCAGGAATAGAAAAGTAAAAATGTCACTACAAAGGAAAGTCATAGGAGGAGGAGACCTATCAATGGAGTTTGGTCCCTTTTTTGCTTCCTTTATCATGTTGACTCCATTTCTTAATACATCTGAACTATGAACTGTTAAAACTTCTATGACATTTGTATATAACTATAGGAAAAAGGTCCATAGCAACGAAATGACCAATTTTTGTTCTAGGGTCGGTTTAATGAAGTCCTGTTGGAAACGAGAATCCAAAGAGCGTCCCACAGCATGCCAAATTGTAGAATTCCTCGCAAACAACCCAAGACTGTTATCGCCATGTTTAGACGTTCCAATATCATCAGTGCAAATCGGAGACAGTGATCAGCTCGAATTGTCCCGCAAAGACCTAAAAGTGTCTCCAAGTAAATCTGCGAACGGATCGACGTTCCAAGCTCCAAACACAGTGTTTGACGATAGGCCAGATCCGGATAGCATACCTCTGGAGGTGTGCTGTGTCAAAGAGCCGCTGTTGGGGCAGGGACGGGCTAGCAGCTCGAATTTACTCAGCAGGTAAGTTTCTTTTCTGATACATATTACTATATTATTCGAAATCCGGGTTGAATTATTACAATTAGATTATGTTTTTTCACAGTAAATGTTATTTAATTTGAAAAATCCATATTTTAAATCTTAAAAGCGAAGATATAGTTTCAACCAATACCCATTAAATAGGAATCTTTTTCTTAGACAAGGGTGACCCCACTATCAAATAATAAAAAGGGGCAGACAAAATATTAAAAAATCACATAAATATGGGCTTTATCATAAAATACTAAGTAGAATTTATATTAAGTAAAAACTGTCAAGAATTCTGAAACATACAATATAAGTCATAATAAGAAAGTTTTATTTACAAATAGGAATTCCAACTACATCTACATTGTGCTGTGATAACCTTAAAAGAATTCTCATCCCAAAAAAAACACACACACACCACACCACACATTATATTTCCACAAAATTTTACCCACATTTTGGTAGCACACTGCTAAACATTTTTCACAATTTGTTTCGATATTTTGTAAGAACATAGAACCGTTAAGAATGCTGAAATATATCATAGTAGACCTCGTAATAACAAATAATGTTTTTTCTAAGTACTAGTTTCAGAATGCCGAACATGGGTTACTATATTTTTTATCCGTGTTTTTTGGGATTATAGAAAAATGTAACAAGTTTAACAAAGTGTAACAAAATTTTGATAGATATAAAATCTAATATTACTATCGTATTTTCAGATTAGGGGTAGGCAGCAAACGAGAGTCTGAAGACGACGATGAATATTTAGAACAAAACGTTCCAGATGCACAGGATAACACTAATGTATAATATATGTGAGGTTATTTAATATTTTTGTAAAGAAATTGTGGAATAGGAGTTTTATAATGAAAACGTCGAATGGAAGATTTTTGATACTTATTAGATTAGACAATTTTTTGAACGGTTATTGAAAGCAGAAATGACGGGAAATGGGGTTTTGTTTTACCATGGAAGTGTTACTGAAACAGAATAATAGTAAGCAATTTACTTGATGGTTAAGTTTTATTTTTGAACTTTGTGGCATTTTTAATTTTCTGACAAAAGGAAAGAGACACTTTAACAGGTGTTATTAATATTTTTACTTGTGTTTTGTTTTCGGTTAATTTTTGTATTATATTAATTCATCTAGCAAAGCAATCTGTATTTTTGTTGTTTTTCAGTGGCTTTGATAATACTACGTTCGATTGGTTAATAAATCCAATCTTACTTTAAATCAAGAGTCTTTTTTTTAATGTCCAGCGATGTCCATTGTCGGTCTATATGTATTGTCGCATGAAAAGGATTTTTATCTTTCGTTTAAGTGTTCTTCTAATTTTTCAGGTCCACAGTTTGTAAGGTCTTGAAATATTTTGTTAAAAACCAAAAATCTAACACTAACCCTTATTTTTTCCACGTTGAATTGTATAAATGTAAATATTGTACATAGGGTTCTAAATCTAGAATATAGCTACTAAAGTTATTTTTCAATAACACTTCCACTAAATTTCGCATTTATTTAACAAACAATTGAAACAATGTGTTCACAACAAATCAATTCCGCGTGCTGAATTTTGCATTAAATTAACGAAAAACCCCAGCCAGACTGCTAATTTTAGGCTTTTGTCGTTTTTTTAAAACTTATCGTTGTTGTTATTTTCTCATTTCTGGCGCTTTAACGAACTTCATACAAAGAAAATCAACATTGGTAGTATTTTTTCGACTGTGGTTTTTTAAGTCGTATTTTAAATAATAATATGGTCATCCATAAAACACTTTCTTTTGTTGTTTAAAAACGCCTTTAATGAGACAATAAACAAGTTAGTGAAATTGTGTCTTTTGCATATTTTTGATACAGAACTTTTGAACCATCCTTTCCATAATTCTGATCGTTTTTCTAGTCAACAAATTTCACTGAGAAATGAGACTCAAATTCACTGCGCATCACAATAATAGTATTAAATGATAAACACATTTGATCCATTCCGATCAGCGGACATTTCAAACATAACAACTTGTCGAGTTATGAACGATTTGATTAATGTGTTGTAGAATAGTTAAATACATGCACAATTCATTTTGAACGTTCCAAAACGGATTAAGACATGCGCAACTCATCTTATGCGTACCAGAATAGTTCGAGGCATGCGTAAATTATTTTATGCATGCCCAGAACAGTTTGACGCAACCCTTTTATGCATTTCAGTGCGAATTTACGCATGCGCAAATTATTTTACCCGTTTAAGAACAGTACAATATAGATTTGTGCTAGACGAGCCTTAAAAGTTATCTTGCCGAGTATTTAGTATGGTTCTGTCTGTACGTAATTAGCAATTGCAAGATTTCCGAAGATTTATCTAAACCATATCAATGCCTTTAATATAACAAATAAAGCAATATAGGAGTGGCCTTTTGAATGCAATGTTACTTTTCACTAAATCTATAAATAGTACAAGAAAAAAACCGCAATATACAAATAAACCTGACACTGTTTTCTTCCCTCTGATACGATCTTAATTTATCTTTTTATACAAATCAAAAAATAATTTCTTAAGAAACTCTCGACAAGTATTATTCTACTTGAAATGTCTCCAAGATTGGTTTTACCACTGATTGCAATATCTGTATATGTAATAGATAAGTCATTTATTATTTTTTAACCTTAGAGTTTTGAAACCATACCGATGTTCATATAAAAAAAGTTTTGATATAACAAAAAATGCCTAATCGAAAACAGAACGTTCATGCAATTATTTTCATTTTATAATAAATATGCATATCAAAGGAGTTCATGACAACCTGTAGGTATACGTTATTTTTTGTTGATTAATCAGTGAGACTAAAACAACGTTGTTTTTATAAAAAAGTAAGAAGAAAGCAATAGGTGAATTTTTTTTAACTTAGGTATTTGTTTCCACTAATTTTGGTTTCGATTGTCATTCATTATTAAATTTACTGTTTTATTCAAACAATTCTAAAATTTTCCTGTTACCTGTTCTTCCAGTTTTTTCGTCGTATTAATACAATCCGCTATCATCTTGTTGCACAAATTTTAATATTTTTAGGAATTTCTAGTTAAAAAATGACAGATTTCTTTGAATTGCACTTTTATATTATTTCGTAAACTTATCATGAATGATAAATATTTTTTTCAAAGCTGATGATAAATTGATCTTATATATTTTCTGTTGTCTTTTACTTTTCTAGCACACTGTCAACGGTCAGTATTAAAATAAAGAATAAATAGTTTTTTTGATGTTCTAATCCCGAAATAGTTGAAATATCACAGATAAATTTGCTGTGCCTTACATGCTAGCAATACTTTTTTTATTAAAAACTATCTCTTTTGGATAGTGTAAGGGAGCAATTTTCATCTTCCCCTAATACCGTACTGTTTAAATTGTCTACTTGATATCGACCTTACAAATACTAAAATTGGGTTCAAATAAATAAAAATAAAATGATTTTTTATAGGAATATCGGTAAATGAACAACTTGTACTGTACATGATGATTTTTATATGATGAGCCTGTTGTGTTGTTTGCACTCGTTTCGAGTTCTTTAATTATTAATAATTCATAAAATTATTACGCTGTAATAATAGTACACCAAAGGATAGAAAGCTATAAAAAAATACAGAAAAAGAGGAATAATTGACAAGTAATTTAAGGTTAAGTTTTGTTTATATATTTGTGGGATTGCAACTTCTCATTTTGAAGAGTTTGATAAAATAGTTTATTAGCAATCAGTAAAATGTGTTTTTATTATTCAGCTAGATCACCTAACAATTTGAGTTCACTTTAAGTTTGTAAACTACTGAAACTGCATGTGAAGCAGGTAGGTACATATAATGAAACATGAACTTGAAATGAGTAAAAACTAACACTTCCAATGAATTGAAAGACTTATACTTAAGCACTAATTGGAAAACATTATTAAAAAATGTAAAAATATATTTTTTTGTTATATCCTTTTTTATATACTATTTTGTAAATTGATAACACAACAGTTATAACTATTGTAAACTGTAAAGTTTATTATTTATTAATAGTTTTTACAAATTCTGATTTTTTACAAGATAACCTTTCAATCTTTGATCAATGGTGAATTGATGAAAGGTAGATTCATATTTTGTTCTCTATATAGTATCTATTTTCCTGTGGCCTCTTGATTTTCAGTAAATAGTCAAGTTTGACTAACAAGAAGTATTTTGACTTCAATTGCCTACTTGTTCAAATAGGTAAATATATATTTATTTAAAGATACAAACAGAAAATATAACTGTCCGGGTAAAAGTATAGAGAAAGTTCCGGTTAAGTTAGCTACAAATGAAACTTCAGTAAATCACAAATTTGCGTTTGCGGTATTGCCATGTCCTTATTATGTATATGTTTTAAGTCTCAAATATGCTTTGAAACAGTAGGTACATTTTTATTATATTATTTTATGGAATCTGGTATTTTTTAAATTTACATAAAACACGAACGAATGAATATTTGTTTCTTTTGATATTAGTTTAGTTATCTGTCGATAAAAAAAATTGTAATTGCCATTTGGTAGATTAGCAGATAAATTTGGCAATAGTGTCAAAACCTTCAAAATACTTTTTGCCAGATTACAAGATAATAAGTAAAAATAAGTAAAAATAAGTAAAAATATATATTAAAATTATTACAGCAAAATTTAACTTGTTATTTACTTTGTAACTTTAGTATTTATAGTGATTTATATATTATTTTCTAGCCATTTTACCGTTTTATGTTTTCCATTTTTAATTAAATTAATTAACATTATATCGCATGCTCTTTAGCGATTGATTAAAACGACATGCCACCACTGCAAAATATAAAAATTTCTTCCATTTGTAGCTGACTTAACCGGAACGGTCTCTATACTTTTACTACTGTTCGATTGAAAACTGGCTAGAAATGGAATTAAATACCAATTTTAAATTGAAACTACATATTTTGATGATAAACCGTACTTTAAAAAAATCATGCGTAGAAACTATTAATACTAATAATTGGACTCCGATTGTGTAACCCGATTTAACCGCTAAATTCAAATTCTTAATGCATTAAAATAAAATCATCTGTATTTTACTCACCTACCTCAAAAGGTTGCAAGTGTTCACTAACGATCCTATAGGGCCCCTTTTTAATGCGGACACCCACACTGTGATATATTGTAATTACTATTAAGGTTTGACGGCAACAGCCAAACGTAGTTTATTTTGACAGGGTAAACCAGACATTTCACATACGAAAAACGTAAATTTAAAATATAGTTAAGTAGATAAGTTCGTACTTGGTATTAAGTACCGGTTTTAGATTTTAATTATCGTGGTACTGGTTCACCCTGCATGTAAATAAAAAAATGTTCGCCCATCGATCTTGCAAACGGTGATGTTTGATTTGACTTAAAGGTTTTGTTTCAAGTATTTCAGAAAATAGGCTAGTTCGCCTGACGTCATGGCATAAATTCTTAAGGATAGTTAACTCAAGACTGAATTTTTAAGGTTATTCGGAAACATTTCAGTGCACATTAGTGTACATATTTAATTTAAAACGTTTTTCTTTGTTCTTTATTAGCTTCCATGCATTTTCATTTAAGTATCGAGTCACGGGAAGGTCTTGGCCGTATATAATGTTTTACTTGTTTTGTTGTAGTCACTAATATTCAGGTTCCAAAATATTCGTTTTTTGGTATTCGTTTAAGGCACCGTAGTGAAAGTATTCTATATATTGTATCATTGTTAAATATCACTCCAGAACAGCATTTTCGTAGGAAACTTTAATTTCTTAACTGCGATT